TTTTATTAGGTGCACCTCACTAATATATACATATACTCCAAATTTCAAGTAATTTGGATTTGTAGAAAAAATATGAAATTAAAACACTACCAGACACATGTGACCATGCGATAAAGTTTCGATCGTGATCAAGGGTATTTTGATCAAATTATTTCTTGCAAATTATTTTTTTTGATATTTTTATTAGATTATTCTATTTTTAAGAATACATGCCTAAAATTTAAAAGGTAAAGTTTATATAGAGCCGAGGCTCTAAACAATCAGATTCGAGCCTATAGCAAAAATTTCACTAGAAAAGATTGTTTTGATGCCCAAATATCCTCAAATTCATCATCTCGAACATCAAGATGCATAAACATGAGAAAAAAAATGGATTTTAAGTTTGGAAATAGTGTATTTTGTAACGCACTTTTGGACCGTCAATTTTCAAGATTTTCAAGTTTTCATAGATGTATCGATCTACACTATTTTTTAAGCTTTAAACTTTATAAATAAAGATGAAAATATATTTTAAGGCTATCAAAAAGATTTCCAGTTTTGAAACCATATTTTTTGACACTATTGGAAGATAGGCTCTAATTTGGTTGTTTAGAGCCTAGGCTCCATACAAACCGCACCCAAATTTAAATTATTTGGATTTGTAGAAAAAAATTAAAATTAAAATACGAAATGAAGTCGTGACGGTCAGATCTGCCAAATTCAATCTAGATCGTTGGACTCATATGAACACATACGTTTAGATAAGCTAGTGGGCTAATCTCAGATTTTTCATATATATATATATATATATATATATATATATATATCAAGGTCAAGATGATCAATTGGAGAATTTTCTAGTAATAAAACAACCTTTTTCAATGGTTTTTGATGTGTACCTTACTCTTACAGTATAAGGTTGCCACCTGAAACAATCCAATTAAAATGTACCTTCAAATTTTATCATAACATATAATTTTGGTGTAAAAAATTATTAAAATTATTTTAAAACTCTTTTTTCATATGTAATTATAATTAACTAAGAAAATAGTTAAAATCAAGTAGATCAATAAATATATGAAAATATTGAAAATGGACCGTCTAGATAATGTGTTGCAAGATGCGCACTATCTTTGGGACTTATAATCTTATTTTTCTTCATATTCATAAATCTCAATGTCAAGATAATCAATTAGAGAATTTTATAGCATTAAAACTACATTATCCGGTGGATTTTTTATATGCATCTGTAATTCTACATTTTAAGGTTGCAACTTTATATAAACTTTTCCCTTTTTTTATTATTGGATGGTTCATCTAAAGATAGATAATTACTAAATAAAATCAGTGGTTAATTGATTAGGTTAATTAATATTGTCTTGGCGTCATTCTTCATTCAGAATTTAATTATTCATAATTCATAACAAAAATGGGTTTGCCTAGAGTTAACGACCCTCGGTTAATTTTTCAAAGGCTATGAGTTGCATATTATCCCATATTTAAAATGCATTTCTAGGTGATTCACACTTCAAATCTTGTGTAAAAGTTTGCGAGGAGCTAACATAGCACTCTTTTAAGTTTTTTAATAAAAATTTGCCATCATCATCATTTTAACATTTTTCTAATTAATTGGGGTCAGATATATAAATCCTGATTCTTCATTCTGCTCTATTAAATATTATATCCTCAATGAGGCCATAAATCCCCATATTTTTTCGGAGTACTTCCAACCAAATCATTTTAGGTTATCCTTGTCATTTTCAATCCTTCCACTTAAACTAATTCGCATCTCCTAACAGGTGATGTATTTGGTCGACGCCACATATCGCCAGTTTACTATTTCTCATTTTATTACCTATTGGTGCAACGCTTAAATTCTATCAAATAGATTCATTGTGAATTCTATCCCTTTTTGTTTTGTCACTCATCCTCAATAAAAATTTTCAATATTATATAAATATAAATAAAGGAAAATGTTGTGGGAAAATTAAATACATATTCGTTATAGTTTGCGTTATTACGGATATATCGAATAGTTTCCGTTATTATCATCGTGTCTATTTTTTTCATTTCAAAACAAATTTTTTTTAAAAAAAGACGATTTTAGCTTTTTCGTTGTTGAACAACCGAATTCAATACACCAATTTTAGCTCTTCAAAAACCAAAAATTTACGCTTTTCGATTTTGGTGGCGCTCTTTCTCTCTAACACGAGCATAGCTAACTTAGAATAATAGGCAACTTCACCCTCTTTCTTCTCTCTCCTCCACCCCATTCACAGAAACGACACAAGTTACACAGTCAATTCTCTCTCTCTCTAAACCAAACATCGCCTAAAACACGAGCCCAATATAGGACGACACAGAAGAAATAAGAAACCAATCAATCTGTGGAGACCGTGTAATCAAATTCACAAGGAATATGAAATATGAATCCTTCTCCCAACCTCAATGGATTCTCCATTTTTCTCTCTCTCTCGAACACAACTTGCAGGCAAAACACTTAGAAATACCAATTGGCATCATAAAGCAACAAAAGCCAAAGCAACCACTGAGCCAGAGAATTTACCAAGAAAATTAAAGCGGTTCTCTCTCTCTAAACAACATGCATAAAACTAATCCCCCATATCTCTCTTTCTAAACAAGCACAAAACCAATCCTCTGTCTCTAAACAAGCACAAAATCAATCCTCTATCTCTTACCAAAAGCCTCGAAAATCTCCTTGAGCTTCCCCATGGTGACCTCCTCCGCTAAATTGAACACTACCAATGGCCCCTGATTCTCCCCTCCAAAATATCACCCCATTTTAGATCCATTTTGAAGATTTTCAATACTCAAAAGCGCTCAATGAACGAGGATTCAAGGTCAGGTTTTACTTTATTCTTATAAAGCTTAGGCTTTATAGAAATTGCATTCAAAACAAAGCATTGCTTCAACCCAACAATTGGAATGTTCTTGGACAATTTCTGATCAAGATAGAGTGATTCCCGATCTAGGTTACGATTTCTTATTTTGACATGAGTAATAAAAAGGCAATTCTCGGTATTAGCAATGTTAAGTGGACCCGGTTTCGGCCAAGCCCTAAAAATACAAGCTTCTTAATAAATCAATTTTTGAGATGGATTTTCTGACTTAATTTTTAAAGATATGTAATCACTAATATAGAGATCATGAATATGAAGAAACAAATAAACTTCAAAAACTAGAAATAATACTTTTAATAAGAAAACATTTGGATCGTTAGTTTCCATTGCTTTTAGATAGAACACCTACTTGCGTCCATATTAAAGATGGGTGCTTTAAACTTTTGGATTGCATGTTTAGTCATGCGATCCTGCCCGCATGAAGCAATTTTCCATGTTTAGTGTAAAAAATGTCGATCAAAACGGTTATTCTAGGTATTTGCAAAGCTAGCAACATTTTACATTTCCATCAGGCTTAGTGGACTACAAGATGGAAGCAAATAATGTGATCCACAACAATAACATGATGGTTCATCCCCGCGCAACCAATGGGTTGGACGGTGATGGGAGGAGAGTATGGTATAAATGAGATGATAAACATTTTGGTGAGAGCCACTTCTCACCATCCGATCCATTGGTCGACAGCGATAAGAACATGATCACGGAAGCTATCATTGACTATCCGGATGATATTAGAGGAACCCAATAAAGAGACGTTGAGTGAAATATCTACTAAAAATCCTTGAGCTGATTTTATCCACACAAGCTAGAGAGAGAAGAGAGAGACTGAGAGAGAGGAGAGAGAGAATTCCATTGAAAAATCAGCAGGGAGGTGCAGGAGTTAGTGAGAGAGAGTTCCATTGAAGAAAATCAGTTGGGTGGTGCAAGAGGTGGTGTTCATTGGCAATGGCGCTCTCTCAAGCTGCCCCAGCCCTTGCTTTCTTCCATGGCAGTTCCTACTTAGACAGTAGAGTGAAGCCCTCCCTTCTCTTGTTTTCAGGTGCAATTTTCTATAATGATTCATCTCTCTCTCTAGAATAACGCATGCATGACACTGTTTCGTATGTGATCTTTGACATTGTGTGACTTCCTCTGTTTACTTGCTTCATCTAGTCAATACTTTTGATGGGTTCTTGGAGAAATAGGTATAAGGATTCTTCAGACTTGAAAACATTTTTGGTTCTAGATAAGGAATCCATTGCAATTTGTTGGGTTTCTTCAATTAATTTGCTGCGATTTACTTAATTTGGTCTCTGCCTTTTCTGTTTCCCCATGTTATGGTTTGAACTTTGAGGTACAAAATTGACCGTTTTGACAAAAAGTAAAAATTGATATACATCTGAGTGTCTTCTTATGAGCATGCCTTTTATGGGGCAATTACTCCTGAGAACCATGATTGTTTCTTTGTAAAATACTTGCATTTGCTCTCTCTCTCTCTATCGCAAAGCATTTGCTCTCTCTCTCTATCTATGTGTATGTGTGTGTGGTGTAGACATTATATTATGTGGGATTGAGATTGCTATTGATAAGTTTCCTAAAGGAAATAGGAACCCAAAAAGATTAGGACTCTTTTATATATCTTGGTTATTGAGATATATGTAATACTTATAAAAAGTTTCCTATTTAGTTTGGACTCCTAACCTTATATATATGGATGACAGTGTATAGAATTTGTGTGTCCTATTTAGGTCACCATATGGAAAAGTTGCTTCCTCTAAAGAGAGAGGATCGGCAAGGCTTCCCTTAGAGTGAAGAGAGCTTCTTATGGAGAGAGAGACGAGAGCTTTTTATGGAGAGAAATACCACATATGTGCCTCCTATAGATTGAGAGGCTGGTTTCTCTTCCCTCGGAGAGAAGACAACTTCATATGGAGAGAAACACCAGAGAGAAGAGAGTTTCCTATAGAGAGAAACACCACGGATGTGTGTCCTGTAGATTGAGAGGCTAGTTTCTTTCAGGGAAGTGCTTCCCATTAAGATTTTGGTTGGTTGCCCTTTTAATGAGATAAAATCTCTGTTGCTCTCAAGGTTCTCCTCCTAGACGGTTCTCCTCCTGGACAGTAGTTTAGCTGTGGAATGGAGATGTTATCTTCCTGGACAGTGGTTTAGCTGTGAAATAGAGATGAGAGGTTGACGATGGCGCCAATTTTTGTCGAGAGTTAGATAGGTAACTCACTGTCCCAAAATCTATAATGTAATTTTCATTGGTTAGAGAGGTAACTTTCAGTTTGCCATGCCCGTGGATGAAGCCCTGTTGGGGTGAACCACGTAAATCTTTGTGTTCTTGTGGTGCGTGAGTTTTATGCTTTAATTTCTCATATTATGGCTCATGCTCTCTTTTATTTTGTTTCTAGCTGGATAAGTATACGATTTTGGTAGGATCCAACTTTTGGGATTCTTGTTTCCGCATCTAAGAGGGTTCTTAAATCCTAATATTGAGTGCCACTAAACAATGATACTTAACTGAATTTAACCTTCACTGTGATTTTTCGAACTTCGGATGATGCTAGGTTGTGAATTTGAATGGTTATAGCTGATGTTTATTAAGCACTTGGTGGAAACCAAGTCCTAGATTGCCACCATTCTGGAAATGCAATATATGATTTGAATTTGACCTTTAAAACTTTGCATATGGGTGCCATTTTGTGGATGTCTAGCCTCTTACATAGAGCATACTGGTATAAATCTTGTATACGCAGTAAGATGTATACTTTTCGACAGGCAGTATTGGATCTCAAAGTTATTTATTTGAAGTTACCTTTCCCCCAAGAAAATCTACTACTGCTTGTGTACCAAGAAAATCATTGTCCTTAACTCCTAAGTGCTCTACTTCATCCCCTGACGATGTCAAGGAAGACTCTGAAGGGGCCTCCGAGCAGACCAAGGTATGATGTATGGAGCTCATAATAATGGTTGAGTGTGTGCCAGTTCTCATTTCTTGTTCGCTTTATGTTCTTTATTCTTTCAAGGCATCATGATCTTCATAAGTTCATTTTCGTTTTTATAAACTTCAAAGTGGATATGCTCATAACATTATCACCTATATTTTAGAGTTTCACATCTGTTTTTTGGCATAAAAGGCACTAGCAAGTATACATGTATCTCACTTTTAAATACAAAAAAGAGTCATTAGTCTCATTTATTTTCTGAGAGCTACTCATGGCCATGTATAGCTGCTAAAGTAGGGATAGATGGATAGCTTTAAAGATGCCTCAAAAAGTACTTCTTGCATCAGTTGCCAAAGAATGTGAACTCTAAGCCTTGAATAGCTTTAATGGATTTTTCTTCTTGGTTATTAGAAGCATTATGGGATGCTTAAATAACATAAAACTTTGGCATTTTAAACTTGATTTCGATAACACAAGCACAGGAAGATGCAAAATATTCAAATTGTTAGAAATTGTCACTACCTTATTCAAGCAAAAGTTGCTTATCGGAAAAGTTCTGGATATATCTTGCACTGAAGATCTATTTGTCAAGTAGTGTAAATTACGCGGGCAACTATTGGATCATGTCTATTATGAACTATATTGTCCTTACAGTATTTTGGCCATTAATGCTTACAAGAATCTGGTTTTTATTTCTCTGGATGATTTACAAGCATTAGTTCTCAACTGTAACGCTTATTAAGCTCTGTTATTGTCTCTAACAATTTGTTTTCTGTAACTTAAACAAAACAACAATTTGTTTTCTAGTAGTATTAACTTGGATATTGCTTTTTGGGACGTGGGGCATAAATAGCGCTGTAGTTTTGTGGAGAGGTTCAACATAGTTTATGTGTGTAATTGCTTGTTAGATTATGATTTGCAGATACCTACTAAGGGAAAATGCACATGTAAATCGTTGCTTACTCCTTTATTCAGGTACCATTTGGATACACTCGGAAGGATGTGTTGCTTATAGGCCTTGGTGTTACTGTGGTTGGTGTTCTGTTGAAGAATGGGTTAGAGGTACCAGCATTAATCCTTCAGTGAATGACTTTACATGTATTGACATCCTTTTCTACTGATTTATTATAGTGCTCTTACTTTTATGATGATTTTCTTGTGGGTTGTTATTAGTTCTATTATAAGATGTTATGACCTTTCATGTGCTGCGCTCTTTTTACAGTTTTTTGGAGTAGATTCTTTGAAAGCAGGAAATGTGGTTCAGTTGGTTTTGGTTCTGGGCCTCACGGTGGGATGGATCGGTACTTACATATTTAGAGTTTCGAATAAAGATATGACTTATGCGCAACAACTGCGTGATTATGAGAACAAAGTCATGCAGGTATAAAAATTTACTTGCTCGTACTCCGCTCTGCATTAGTTCAAGTTTTCAATATATATACTAATGGGCTGCATATCCAGCTCGCATGCACGAACACACACACACACACACACACACACACAAAAGACACATAACTATATCATCTTAAAGCTTTGATGGTACACGGTCCCGCAGTCTTTCATTTGGAATAGAAAATTTTGGCTCTATTTAAGTAGGCTGTGTTCCATAGCATCACATGAGCATTCTTGTAACACGCTAACCTTGGAACCATTCTCTCCAGAATTAGGTGCTGGCCATAACTTGGGTGAGAGAACCAATTCGTTGGTCATGTCGGAACTAGTTTTCCATCTCTTTAGCTTTTAGAAAAACTTTTAAGCTGCATAAAGAAAACAAAAGGCTGCTACAAACTTATGAACTTTTCCTCTAGATCTTATTCTGGGCCTTTACATGGCCTTTTGATTTGCTTCCTGATTACATGTTAGAAGCTTAGTTGTTGGGAACCTTGTTCAAAGCTTAGTTTTGGGAACCTCGTTCTTAGCAGTCTCCCTGCTTGCAAAAGTAGTGCTAATCTCTTTGGATGCTCTAGCCTCCACTCCACGAATGATCAGTAGACATTTCCTTTTAACTAAAGTTGGGAGATCACCAAATTGTTTGTACTCTCGGGGATCTCCTGTAGGACTATTTCCCGAACTTCATTGGCAAGTTCACCTCCCTTGCTTCCATTCAGTTGCATTAGTGGGTCCTTTTATAATTGGAATTTAGTGAATGAAGATGCAGAAGGTTCTCCCTTTTTATTTTTCTGAGAAGTAATCATGATTGATATTACGAAGCATGCATCAAATTGTGCTCAAAGGAAAGCAAATAAATGGAGAAATTTCTTAGAGAAGAGGGAGAAGATATGCATAAAAAAGGAAGGTATAAAAAAACCTATCCGAAATGTTTGTTTGCTAAAAAATATGCATTTCTCAGCTGTCATTGAAACAGTTCGAAAACTAACAATTGGATAATAACTTTTGGGTTATGGCTATGCAGAAGCGACTGGAAGGACTCACAGAAGCAGAGATAGAAGTACTTTTGGAGCAAGTTGACGAAGAGAAACAGCGTCTAGCAGCCAGCGAACAGCTTAAGTGATGTTTGTCATATAGTTCTTAGTGCTTTATTTCTTATGCTCTTGTTAATGAATATAATGTACAGATGTTTAAGTTTATGAATCATTACACAAAGTCAGTGAAAACTATTTGTTGAGAGAATATGTAGAGTTGGTCACAGAGACAATCTGTTAAAAAACACAAAAAAAACATTTTTTATTAATATTATTTTTTATTACTACCATTAGAGGCTTAATTTTATGAACTTTCACATTTTTTTTCTATCGTTTTGAATAGTCAGATAATTCAATTATTTAGTTTCCAAAATATCTCTGAATATATTTTCACATTTTTCATTTATCCAATGCATAAAAAAAGTTCTTTTAATCATTTTTCTCAAAAGCCTAGATTTGACACTTCTATGATTTTATTATTCAACTCAATCACTTCTTCATATTTAGTGACAGAAATTCCTTTTGGCAAAAACTCTCTACATGGCGACTCTCTTTTATATTACACGCTGAGGACCTGTTAGGCTCTGGTGTAACATGGAACTCAAGTTTGTTTGAAAATCCATGTTTCAAAACTCATGCTTCTATTTTGGGTTAATTTTATTCTTGGGTTATGGGTATATGTTGTTTGGATCGCATCTCGCCTAGTATTCTATTTCCATTGTTTCAAGTCGTTTTTTAAAACCTGGTTCTTATTAGTATCTGATTTGTTCTATTTTTTCTGTAAGTGGGAGTTGGATCTGGACACCGGGTGATCGAATGTACTGCTTTTTATTTGTTTGTAGGGTGATCGAATGTACTCATTTTTATTTGTTTGTAAGTAGTGGATATGTTTAGATATTGGGTGTTTGAATAAACTCATTGTTTTATCTTTTGAAAGTGGGAGAAGGTTCGGACATTTTATGCTTATATCCAATCCTTTTTAATTTGATAACTAGGAGAAGTGGAAGTTGGGATCGGATATTTAATGCCCTCCTTTTTTTTATTGTTTTTGTAAGCGGATAAGTACGTTATGGCCTCAAATCGGTGTTTGAAAAACCAACTATCAATGGGAATTGCAATCCCGATTAGGAATCATTCTAATTCGTTTAGAATCACATGGTTCCCCGGGTTTTGTTAGGAAACTTGGTGATCCAAACCAGTGGAGTTTTTTTTTGGGTTCCCACACATTATATTTTTTAACAAGCTTTTTATACTTCCCCTATAGCATAGAAATTCTATCTTTTTTTATATCCAACCGTTCATTTTAAATGGAAGGTTAGGATTGCTCCAATCACAATGTCATGTCTCTACATTATTTTATTTGTAACTTTTTTTTTATAAACTACTTTGACACCAAATTTTGGACGTCCATTCCTCAATTAACCTTACACTAGCAAAAAATATAAAAAAAAATATTTTCAATAAAATAAAATGATCAAAATGCCATTAAAAGTTTCAAGGGGTATTTTGGTTATTATATTTTATTAAAAATTATTTTTAATATATTTTATAGGTGCGCCCAAATGAGAATATCACACGTAACAAATTTCATATTCATACAATTTGTATAAAAAAAATTAAAAATAAAATACTTTGAGATGTCGGATTTAAGATCAAACGGTGAATGATTCTCTTGATCAAAATGGAACGGCTGGATGATAAGGCAAAGATAAAACTTCTATGCTGTAGGGGAAGCATAGAAATCTTTCTCTATATTTTTTATTTTATTCTTTATTTTAAAAAAAAAATTTGGACCAATTCTCAAACTAGAGCATCAATTCGATTTGCCGATCTAGACTAGCATTCATCCAGTCAATCTGGGTTTTTAAATTCTAGAGCAGATATATTAGCGGTCTCAACTGTAGGGGAACAGATCAGAAAACGACAAACAATTGAGACCTTCATGTAAAAGGTGTAATTTATATAAGACGCACACTAAATCTTGCTAAAAGTCGTAGTTTCAGCATCGAAAATTTTAACGATGGCTTAAAAATCAAATTGCACTCTTAATTATGATATTTAAAGCTCAAAAAAATAGTAAAAATTGAGAAGACTCTTGATTATGAAATTTAAAACTAAAAAAGGTGCAAATTGAGAAGAACTGCGAACACTTGAAATTTTTTAAAATAGATAGTAGAGATAATGTGTTAAAACCTGTGTTCGTAAAATTGAATCGGAACGATTAACCAGACATGGGGCCGAAAGCGGTTTAACCGGCCCAACAGGTAAACCGGCCAATTCAACCGTTCTAATCGGGCAACTCTCGGGTGGTTAAAAAATTATTAAATAAAAAATAAAAAAGATACAAAACAATCTACTAAAATATGAAAAATATATAAAGAATGATTAAAACAAAACACATAAAAATTAATGAGAAAATGGATTTTAAGGAATCAATTTGTGTCTAGAGGTATTTCTAAAAAAATTCAAAAAAGATGAGAAAATATAAAAGTGAGTATTAATGACCAAAACAATTTCTAATATTTACCGTAATGTAAAGAATAGTAAAAAATGTATTACGGACCAAAGTCCTTATTTTTGAGATTTATACATTTTCTTGAAAAAAAAATTTTAAATACCGGCCAATCACCAAAGCCACTCAAAACCGGAACCGGCAATCGTCGGTTCCGATCTAACCAAAGCAGTTACCAGCTAAAACATAAGCCATCTTTAAGACTTGAAATCATGTTTGGGAATCTCCATACATCTCACGGTTGAGATGCGGAATTTCAACTTCAGCACAGATAAAGTTTTAGGGTGCACCTTGCTTGTATAAGGTTGACACCTTATATAAACTTTTCCCTCATGTAAAAATGTAACATAAGCAAAGGTTTTTAAAATATAGATTTTACAAGGGAGCTTCAGTTAGCCTTCGTGGGCCAGATATTTCAAACTCTGCCTAGAACTTAGAGCCCGATCACATGCAAACTAAAAAGGACTGGGGTAAAAAGACACTCCCGGAATTCCAAACTGGGGTAGCAAGACTCACATTCATCAGCCAAGCACCAGCCCACAAAACCATGGTGTTGGCATCTATTTTCTCAAATTCTAAGCTCAAATCTTGCCCTAATATTCAACAGTTGAAGCGGCTAACCTATAATTAGAAGCTTCATCAAAATTTCAGACACAGACCCCGCCCCCCAATTTCAATCAGCTGCTCATTCCTGTTCCACTAAAACAAATTTCCTGGTCCGCTTTGTGTCAATTGGTTATAGACCATAATCAATAAAGGAACCCAACCATATGAAATGGAAGCCACCATAAACATGAGTACATGTCACAGCAACCTTTTTGGGAGACAGAAACTAAAGCATGATTACATCCACCATAAACAAGAGTACATGTCACAGCAACATTTTTGGGAGACAGAAATTAAAGCATGATTACATGCAACTGGTAAAAAGATAATCCATGAAACTAGAAACTAAAACTCAACCAAAAGCATGTGTATTTCTTTTAAATGCCCTGTCCAAAACAAGGAATACACAATACAGTCGCATCTCTTAGAATGCCTTACATTCATCACCTCTAGTGGCTTTTACCCATCTGAAAGTACAAGGAAATACATATTAAGTCAAACAAAGACAGAATGCTTTGAATTTTAGGAAAGCATTCAATTAAGGGTGTGGTTTCTATAAGGTTGCAACCTTAAACGATCCAATTAAGGTGCAGCTCCAAATTTTATCATGATATGTAATTTTGGTGTAAAAAATTCTTAGGATTATCTTAAAATCTATTTTCATCTCTAATTATAAAATTTGAAACTCTAAAAATGTTTAAAATCAAGTAGATATAAACATATGAAAATCTTGAAAATTGAACGGTCTAGATAATTTGTTGCAATATGCACCATTTATGGGACTCAAAATCCTTTTTTTTTCATATTCATACATCTCGATGTCGAGATGATCGATTAGAGGGTTTTTCAACATTAAAACAACATTTTCTGATGGATTTTTGAGGTGCATCTATAATTCTACATTTTAAGATTGCAACCTTATATAAACTTTTTCCTTCAATTAATGAAGGAACACCATATTTTTGTAATAAATACTGCTCTCAAAAAGCAAAGAATCATCCATTTTCTACCATTGATATAAGGATAAAGTTTATATAAGTGTGAGGCTTTAAAGAATCAAACTTGGGTGCACCTCAAAAATTTCACTAGAAGAGGTTGTTTTGATGCCCAAATATCATCAAATTGATCATCTCGACCTCAAGATGCATGGACATGAGAAAAAAAAAATGGATTTCAAGTTTTGGAAATAGTGCATCTTTTAATGTAATTTTCAAGATTTTCAAGTTTTCATAGATATGCTCGATCTACACTATTTTTAAGCTTTAAATTTTATAATTAGAGATGAAAATATATTTTAAGACTATCACAAAAATTTCCAATATTGAAACCACATTTCTCGACAATATTTGAAGGTGCGCTTTACTTTGTTTAGAGCCTCGACTCTATACAAACCACACCCTTGATATAATCCATGCTATCAAAAAGAAAAGAATAATCCATTTTCTACCATTGATATGATCCATGGGCATAAATAGCAATATATATGTCACAATGATCCTCATCCCATTTAAAAAAGGATTTGTATCCAAGCATGTCTTTAAGCAAAAAGCATTGTAAGCTCAATACTTCAATAGACTGACTGTATACCTATGACAGCTTTATATTGTTGAGAGAGATTAATACCATACTACAGGTATGGCGCTTGGCATCTTAACAGTTCTTTTCAAAAGTGAACAGCAATAGGTATGTGAGACCATGTCACATTTCAACAACTTGGCGGATCTTATCTATAACCGTCCATTGTAGGAGATGAACACCTTAAATGATGTCTCTCCCATCTACACTTCTAATATGTTAAATATAATACTCTACAAATTATGTAGCATGTTATCAAGTTCTCAGAATAAGTTATTCTGCAGGTCCATGTGCGGATTTCAACAATTGGAAAGATGACATGCTACTACAATAAGGAGATCGTGCAATCCAGATTGGTCCAAATCGGCGAGCTGGAAAGATTTAAAACTAAAAAATAAAATAAACTACGGGTTCAGGGTGGGATTTTCTTTTTTTGTCTTTTTTCTTTATGGTGGGGAAAAAAGGGGTTTAGGGTAGAGAGCGTATGTGTGTGTAGAAAGCGTATGTGTGTGTGTGTATATATAGGGAAAACATGCAGTTAGCCCCCTCTAGTCAGTATAAGACCAACGATCCAGATTGAAACTGAGCCGATCTGAAGGTCACGACCTCATTTCGAAATATAACTTTAATATTTTTCATACAAATCTAAATTATATGAAAATTTAGGTGTCCATTCTTCTCATCAAGGTGCACCTGATAAAAACATAAAAAAAATAATTCAGAAAAAATAAATTGACCAAAATATCCCTGAAATT